TTTTTTTTTGTATTAGCCGTATATGGTGGCATCTCACCTGTGTGTTTCCTGCCGTGCATCTGCAGGTGGGACAGTTTGAAGTATCTCTTACTGCAGCCAGGGTAAGAACACATGAAAGGTCGTTTCTCACTGCTCTCTGATGATTTAATGGAGGGAGTGATGCCTGGTACACTCCGCACATCCTGGAGAGAAAAAAAAAACAGGGAATAATTGGCAATCAACAAACTCTATTTGCCAATTCTGCTGCACTTCTGAGCCTTTGTTTGTTTTGACTTCTGCGTTACCAAACCCCGGATGAGTTGTGCATCTGAACAAACCCTCTTATCTTGTGGCCTGTTAAATATCAATTTAGCTTTTAAAAGGCTTTAGAGGAAAGCTTTAAACTAAAGTTATAAACATACATACATGCACACTATTCTCTGGACAGTATCAGCTTTCTCAAGCTCTGATGGATGTTGATTCAGGCCAAACACACACTACAGACTGAAGTAGTGTCAGACTGATACACTTCGCCTGCTCCGGACGCATATAAAGCTCTTTTGTCCTGCTCTCTGTTTAACAGGCCTGAATAATCAAACACACTTTTACTCTAAACTTCACGCTTGTGGTGCGCTCTGTGTCCTGGTCTTGGCAGAGCTGCAGAGAGGGAAGTGTGTATGTGGCCTTGATCTAAAACACCAGTGTAAGTGTGTGTTGAGAGGATATTTATCCATAATAATCCAGCACTACTCACTGAGCATATGTTCAAAAGATTTTTTTAATATAAATTGATACCTTTATTCAGCAAGGATGCATTAAATTTATTAAAAGTGACAGTATAAACATTTATAATGTTACAAAAGATTGCAAATAAATGGAATACGTTTCAATTTTAAAAACGTAAAGAATCTTGTTCACAGTTTCCACAAAAATATGAAGCAGCACAACTGTTTTCAGCATTGATAATAATAAGAAATGTTTTTTGAGCAGCAAATCAGCATATTAGAATGATTTCTGAAGGATCGTGTGACACTGAAGACTGGAGTAATGATGCTGAAAATTCAGCTGCGCATCACAGGAATAAATTACATTTTACAGGATATTCAAATAGAAAACAGTTATTTTAAATTGTAATAATATTTCATAATATTATAAAATAAATGCAGAGCTGGAGAGACTAAAGAGAAAATCTGACACCAAGCTTTTGAATGAAATATAAACTATATACAATAAATATATATTATATAATTATATTTGTATATACCATAATATATACAAATATGTATATAATATAATATTATAAATATATATATACACACACACACACACACACACACACACATGTTTATTATAAATAATAAATACTGCCAGCGCACTTTATGGTTATATTTTTGTGAGAATGCAATATGTGTGTGTACAGGTAGAAATGATATGTGTCTCTGTGTGTGTTTGAGTATGTGTGTTTTGCGATCACCCACCTGTACTCCTCTGAACAGACCATGGGTGTGTATGTGATACTGAGTGCTGCATCTGTACACCAGCGGAGCTCCTGCAGACGCTTCGGCCTCATAACCGCCACTGTGACTGGACACAAATCCAAAGACAGAGAGTAGTTACACAACACACACCACTCACAGAGAGCAGAGAGACAGAGACCCCTCAAACAGAGCTGACATATTATTCAGTACGACATGTATAACCAATAAGATTCTCAGAAAAGACAGATTTGAACGTGTTAAGAGCTCTGCTAAATATGCATCAGCTTTTCCTCCTTATTAACAAAAGGATGGTGTGATATCCAAAAATAACTGTAAAAATGCCTCAACTGTCATAAATGATAGCAAGGGGGACTGTTAGTCTGGAGGGGGATTTGTAGTGTGGCCAGTAACAGATGAAGAGCTGTTTTCTTTGTCCGACTCGCTTCACATCTCAAGACTACACAATCAGCCATTGCTGGTCCAGTCCTCCCACAGCCCAACCATTCATCCGTTCAGTAGATAAACACCTGGTTGTCATGGCATTGGGGGTGAGGAAGGTGGATACCAAATCTTTTATCTGGACAGCCGGCATAAATATTCTGTCCAGCATCCCAGTCACCTACTCCAGTGGCAGAGTTCATCTGTCTATAGACAAGCTCACATACACTCAATCGCTCAAAAACAACACAAAATTCCCACAGTGCTTTGGGACGTTCCCCTCTGCCCTTCAGCTAGTCTACATCTCTTCATTTCAACATCTCTCTGTCTCTCTCACACACAAAATCATGCTACCCTGAACTGCCCCTTCAACACATCCAAGGTCAGACACTCTATCTGGGTTGGACTGGTTGACTGAGCAGGATCCATTCCTATCTCCTCTGCTGTCACCGCAGCATAATTCATGCTCCTACTTCAGTCTGTACTTTTGTTTCAAAGTCCAGTACAACATCAGAGGACAGCGACGCCTTCCTTCAAAACAGACACTAATTAGAATAGGGCACAGGACGGCAGAGAAGACGAAAAGAAGATGAGAAGAGAGGTGAGGAGGATGTAAAGATAATGTGGGCTGTCTTTCTGTCCTTCTTAAGGAAAGGAAAGTTTTGGACAAGACAGGACGGGACAAGACAGGACAGGACAGGACAGGACAAAACAAGATGGGATGGGATGGGACAAGACAGGACGGGACCAGACAGGACAGGACAGGACAAAACAAGACGGGATGGGATGGGATGGGATGGGATGGGACAAGACAGGACAGGACAGGACAGGACAGGACAGGACAGGACAGGACCGGACAGTACGGGACAAGAAAGGACAGGACAAGACAGGACAGGACAAAACAAGATGGGATGGGAAGACAAGACAGGACAGGACAGTACAGGACAAGAAAGGACAGGACAAGACAAGACAAGACAAGACGGGACGGGACAAGACAGGACTGGATGGGACACGACAAGACAAGACAAGACAGGACAGGACAAAACAAGACGGGATGGGACAAGACAGGACAGGATGGGACAGTACGGGACAAGAAAGGACAGGACAAGACATGACAAGATGGGACGGGATGGGACAAGACAAGACAGGACAGGATGAGACAAGACGGGACGGGACGGGAAAGGAAAGGAAAGGAAAGGAAAGGAAAGGAAAGGAAAAAATTTGAATGAATTGGAATTCTTTTTAAAAGCGCAGGTGTTGATATGAGACCGAGTCTGTACCTCTTTATGCTGGGTGTCAGCGAGCTGACGGGATTCCAGGTAACACATTCCAACTGAGACGCCATTTGGTAGAGATTATCACTGCCAGGGCAGAAGAGATAAATCACAGTCATGTGACCTCATTCTTCACTGCTCAAGAAGCACAACACTTTTAAAAAGGGAAGGGATACACCAAAAATAGGAATGAAAAAAGCAAAAGACAGAGAAAGAAATTGAGGATTTTGTTTTTTAAGACAATATTTTTGTTCATTCAGTGTTATTTTTCTGGTTACTAGGCTGATTTGAAGTGCAGACATGTCTCTTTCTAATCTTCACCACTGATTCATAACTGTTTTCTAAGGAAGCAGCAAAACTGGAGGCTTGTTACATCCGCTGCGTTTCACCACATGTTGTGAAGTGTTGCATCTCAGCTAGCTCTCACATGGTCCTGGCTGGCGAGTCGAGTGCCTGGCACAGTCACGTAATAGTGTGATGTCACAATGGTTTCTGGGTATTGTGGGAAGGATTTGGGGAAATTATCTTGACACATATGCTGTCTGTCCCTTTTCTGTGGGCTGAAGTAGCAGTTTTTGAAGGTCAGACAGTTTCTTTGAGATACAAAATGTATCAAATTATACACTATTGTTTATTATTATTTAACAATAATGATGATGATCTAATAATAGTTGTTGTAGTTATAATTATTTAGTTAGTTAATAATTTATAGTTAAATAATAATAATAATATAATATAATATAATATAATATAATATAATATAATATAATATAATATAATATAATTAATATAATTAATATAATATAATATAATATTTTAATCGGAAAATAAAGAAGTCATGGTGGGGTTTCATTATTACTTTATGATTGGGTGCCACATTGCTTCCCAATAAATTGCTTTCCATTCCAGCTCATACCAGTGTTTCAAAATGCAAAAGATAGTTTCTAGGCCAAACACTAATGAAATATAAGGTGGAATTTCCCTTTTCGCTCCCTTATAATCTCACTTTATTGGCAAGAAATGGAGGTTCGTGAGGTCACCGGAACACACTGCAACAGTACCCGGTTGATGCAAGTGAGTGAGTGTGTTTGAGTGAGAGTATTTTCTTGATTGAATGATTTCTGAAGGATCATGTGACACTAAAGACTGGAGTTATGATGCTGAAAATTCAGCTTTGATCACAGAAATAAATTACATTTGAACATATATTCAAATACAAAACATTTATTTTAAATTGTAATAATATTTCAAAATATTAGACTTTTGAAAACTGTAGTTTTGAATGGTAGCGTCAATTGTTATATACTGATATTCTGGTTTCCTCTCCTCTCCTTATAATAAAGTTCATCTTTTGAATACATAACTCTTTCTCTCTGTCCTCTCGTGTCTCTGGGGAGGGCCAGGCAGAGAAGGGAAGAGGAATTTGGAGGAAACGGGCAGTAGATCACTGTGAGTGTATTTTGGCCTGTTGAGAGCTGCTGTGCAGTTCTTAACCTTTGTGCAGACAGCAAGACTCACTGCAGACTTACTCAGGATTTATCTGAGCCATCCAGACTGGGCCTCACTGACGCTCAATTTCAGTCACTCAGAAACCAGAAGGGGCTGTGCCACGGTGAAGACACAAATCAGCAATATACATATTTTACTTCTTACACTAATTAATGTGCCTTTTTTAAAGAATGTTCCGAGTTCAATACAAGTTCAGCTATATCAACAGCATATACTGCATGACGTGCTGTTAATTACCACAGAAAAGAAACAGTAAAAACAGCAAAAAATTTTTAGTATGACACATACAATGGAGATCTATGGGGCAAAGCATTGCACGGGAATAACCATTACAAAATACACACTGTGTAACAATTTAACAATTATTTCAAACAAATATCCAAAACTATCTGAATAGTTTTAGCATGTTAATGTATTGGTTTTTGGCAAACTAGATCTACTATGCTGCTGCTGAGCCAGTATGGACTTTCTACTGCCAATAAATACACAACTATGAGCATGTAAGATATGCTGCTGCTGCATGAATAGACACTCATAAATACAGGTGGAGCTGGAGGAGGTGGAGGGTTTTAGAGCACGAAAAGTCAATTATGTCAATGATAGCAAATGATGGTCCTCATAGGAGATTGCATGTAAAGGACCTACTAAGGCATGAAGATGTGAACAATGTGAATTGTACAAAGCACTAAATAAATTTGACTTGATTTGGCATATTAGACTGCACCATCTAAAATGACTAAACTAGATATATGTGTTAACATGGCACTAATTTGCTAAAATCACTTACTACCATTGTTGTGTACTGTTAATATATATCCAACTTACTATACAGTTAATATATATCCACGTTTTAAACACCTGTCATGGACATGTAAAGCCAGTACAACATTTGTGTTTCATATGACATGAGAAAGGGAAATTATGTTGGTTACGCAAAAAAATAAGTATATCCTCCTAACACTAAAGCAATCATTTAGATCATTGTTCTTAATTTTTTTTTTTTTTTGACTCCATGCAAGACCGCCATTGTCCGTAACAATATTCGAAGGCCCCATGACCTTTCCATTTTTTTTACCCACTATGTCTACACTATAAAATATTTTAGAGCTTGGCATAACTACAAAAATGTATAACATGGCCATGCAGTTATAATATTTAAAGCAATTTGCATGATCCATGGGAATTCTGGTTCTTCAAAGGCAAAAACTGTTGTTGAAGGGTGAAATGGAATTTTAAAAAAAATACGCATATAAGAGGTTACTCTACAATAAAAACATATTGCACATAAAACAACATGAACACATAAGTTCACTTGCATCTCTGAAAGAGACAACATCCCTTGAAACATGTGTTCATGACAGAGAGTGAAAATAAGGATAGAAAATGATCATCTTTACAAATATTTGAATTTTTTTGATGCAAAAAACTTCATAAGCTAACCTCTAGAAACATAATAGATCTGAAAATGCATTCCATGACCCATTTAAAGCCTGTTTGTCTTATTTTAAATAATTGTAGGTCATTTTGAGCAACCCCTTGGAAGTTTCCTGAGGCCCTCTGGTTGAGAGCCACAGATTTAGACAATATGCGGCCTAACATTTCTGCTTTTGAACCCTCCAGAATGCCTTTGAGACTTCTGCATGTTTTTGCAGACTGAGGGACAAGCAGAAATTGTTTTCTGTGGCACGTCTCAGAAGCTGTCGTTAGATAATATCCAGGAATATCCCTTTATTTCAACAGTTGCATAAACAATTCGGCGTACTTTTGTAACTTCTTGTAATTCGTGGCTGCTGCCTCTATGATGCAATTTACTGCACTTTTATTGTTATCATTTCATGCACGATGAATCACACCTTGCGAGTTATTAACTCAATAATAATGCAAGTAAAGTTTCAAAACTCATCATTAGGAAATCATGTATTTTTTAATTACGTGTCTTATTACACTAATAATCAACGGTAAAGAAGGTACCTGTTGAAGCTATTTCTCAAAAGACTGTCAGGAGGACTGTGGCACCCGTAGACAGGCGGTGGGACGGAGTACTGCGGCTCACCTGCATATTCACAAAATCAAAGCACACATTACAACACTCAAAGAGCATATATATCAGCAATATCTGAAAGAAAGTCCTCTTCAAAGATCTCATACTAGAGTACTGTTTACAAGTGAAACAAAGCGTTTTACAGTAGAGCTAACAGAGAGTGCGGCCTCATCTTTACTGCGGTTATCCAAACAGCGCAGGGCTCCCTGCGACCATAAAGCAGTCAGCTCAGAGTTTCTGAGAGCACTCTGTTCATTTCTTAGGGCAATAGACAGGGAATCAGTCCCTCGGCAGCACTAAACATTCTTCTCCACATCCACAATTCTGCTTCCTCCTTTCAGCTGCCCGAGAAAGAGTGGTGATCATTCATGCCAGCATAATTTATGCTTAATGAACTTAAAAACTGTTGCATACAGTGTTTTGAGTGTTCGGGGAAGGAGACAGAGAGGTAAAAAAGAGAGCGAGAAGAAAAAAAATCTGAGTATTTACTGCCCTAACATTAAAACTCCATCTAACACTTAACCTTGAGATGATCCTTGCGGATAGTGATCTCCAGATATCTATTCGTCTTATTTGTCATACTATACTTAAATACACACTCACGAATTCACTCTGTCCTGCACAGCCCTTCTGAAAAAGAAGTACACTTTCGCATACTTTTAAAAAGAGATCTTATTTATGGAAATAATATATATTAAAAAAATACACGGGCACTTTTCGGATATCTAATTGCATGCCATTTGCAAAATGAATGAAAATGTATTACAGCCTAATTTTATATTAATGCAATTAGTTGAATGTAAGAGTGATTTTTTTGACCCACCAAGTCCATTTTTACATGCAATTATTTCTATTGTCATTTGAAATATGGTTAAAATGTACTGACAAGCATTTATGGTAAACTAAAGTACACGTTCATATCATTTCTATTGAAACTTGCATGTCATGTATTTAAAAATATATATGTAATTAAACATTTGTGATGATGAAGTTGCAATCAGAACTTTTAAAATATAACTGTAAGATGTGTATATTTAAAATATAGATGTACGGTCAAATAACACACTAGAGTTAAAATTATAATAAAGTCCTGTACAAGTGCATGTATAGTAATAGTCATTAAAGCATGACAAAAGATTATTAAAACAAAATGTACTTTAAAGTAAAACCTTTAATTTGACATTACGACAAAGTACACTTTTTAAAAGTGTACATTAAGAAACATGGTCAAGAAAGTGTACTCCCTTTAAGTACTTTTTTATTTGATTAACCTGCAGTTTTTAAATATATATATATATATTGTAAATCAACCTGCAAAAGACTTACTTATGTTTGCCTCCTAATATTCTTATTATTTACTCATCATTTATTCAAAGGCATTTACTGCTTCAAATGCCACAATGAGAATATATTTCCCTTACCCATGCTGCTTTGGGGGGACATGGGGTCCTCGTGTTTGAAGGTATTGTTGGGGAATGGTGGAGTGTGGTGAGGTGTGTGTCCGTAACTGGGAGCTCCATCTAATGCTACTGTACCATAACCTGAGAGAAAGAGACAAAGAAAAACAGAGAACAAATTAGTGTGTTTGTTCTCAGCGAAATCCACATTTTCTCAGCTGACTCCATTCTTCCTATTGAAGAATAGCCCATTGTTCATTGTTGACAAGTGTTAAAAATGACAATAAAATTCTAACTAATGCAAGTAATCATCTGAAAATGACAATGTAAACATAGAAAAGGTTCCACTAATAGTCCTGACAAAATGTATTACAGTAAATACGCATCCCTCTCCAACTTATAATTCATCTGGTGCGTAAACCCGCTGGAGACCAATAAGCTTTTCCACTGAATCAATTTGTGGTTGTGACTTTTCCTAAAGTTAATCTAATGATAAATTACAGAAGTAGATACGTGAATCTTTGTACTGTGATTTAAACACGCTGCATTTAAAGCACACTAACATCAGACTTCTGTATTGTGAGCTCTCAGATTTAAAGGAGAGAAGCTCTTCAAGATGTTCACATAGTGCTGTAAGTCATCAACACAAAGAAAAAATTAATGCTAGATTGCAGAGAGAGACATTGTGTGAGACTTATTCAGCATGTGCAATAATTGTTGCATGAAATAAATGAATAAAGTCCAATGTTAATCAGCCACTGAGCCAAAACACTACAGAAAATGTCATTTCATGCTTCTAAACTTTAATACCATTTCATCTGACTTTTTTTTTTATAAACACTTTATCTCCAAAAAGTTTTTATTCAGTTGGTTTAATGTAAAATACCAATTTAACCCTTTAAGAAACATTTTAATCTACTTTCCTTTAGAACATCAGCTGTGTTCCCAAATGTTTTAAGGAGGTCAGAAGCGCCCTTCATAAAATCAATCTGGCAACAGAGAGATAAAATGGAAGATCCAGAACATTTATTAATCTGACGCAGCAGATATAAACCCTTTATGCAGAATGCAGTTTCATTGAAGCGGCTAAAACTGAGCACAATGGAATAATATAAATGTCAGCTGAATAGTATGGTTTTGTATTTTTTACATTCAAATCAAAAATGTGTATTTTATTTTTCTTGATTATCAGATATGAATCATATTCAAAGATATTTCATGTCTATGTGAATAATTTCATTTCATATATAATTACATTTATTACTATATTTATAATAAAATATAAAAATCATTTTAAAAATAAGTTTTCACTAACGTGTAGAACATTTAATTCAAATGCATAATTAATTCACTTTTCAGAAGTAATATTTTGAGGGTGATAAGAGATCCTCTATGAGCAATTCAGTATCAACAGCTCCGTAACTTCACAATCACACACCAGCTTAATGCAAAATCTCAAACATCTCACGTCCACTTTGAAGTTTCATGTTTTTTTATGTTTTTGACACCAACAGCAGAGACAAACAGATTTTGTGGCTCATGACAGAGAGACTGTGAGCCACGAGCGGGTCGGCTGTCTCACCCTGGTTGCGCGGGGCAGGAGGGCTGTCCATGCAGCCTGGCAGATAAGACCCGCTGGAGAACATCCTGCTCTGGCTGGACGGAGAATCAGCAAACGGCCCATGCATCCCTGTGAGCTGCCCCGAGAAGTGCACGGTGAAGGCCCCCAAACCGCAGTGCGGATCCTCGTGAGGGTCTGCGGGCCCCCAGCCCGGCTCCTGTTTGACAAAGGAGTGGGAGGGAAGAGATCCGTACGGGGAGGCAGGGTGAAAGTCCAGCATCGGTCCCCACTGCGGAGCTCCGCCGACAGGCAGGGAACAGTTTGCGTTCGGGACCGCAGGAAGCAGGGCGCTCAGGTCTCTGACGTCCGATCCCATCAGGCCACACGGCTCTGTCAGCATTTAGGAGGATTTTCTTTGTCGCAACACCCTTGAATATCTGCAGACTAGATTTCAAGAAGAAGGTGTCCGGTCCAGCAGAATGCGCGTTTATCTGCTTCTGAGATGGGAAGCACTGGTGAGGTGTTTGGAGCAATGCATTGGAGAGTTTGAGAAGGAGTAACTCCACTCTTGTACATTTGTCTGGGTCTATCAGCTCTAAAAACCACCCCACCATCTCCAGAGGAGGAGTCAGAGCTCGGGGTTGTGAAAAAAAAAATCACTTCTTCTGTACCTTACTCATCTTTTACTTGAACAGCACTTGCAGTCCTCTTCTGACTAATGCCTGGACATGTGTGTATGAATATGGGTGTGTGTGTGTGTGGGTGTTTGTTTGTTTAGTTAGCATGAAATCTAATTGTGTAAATGATGTTCCTCAGAGAACTTGTTTTGTTAAATTACTGTAAATATACACTTAATTTCACTCAAATGTTTATTAAAGTTTTAAAGTTACACTTTTATAAATAAAGGTTCTTTATTAGCATTGATGGTTCCATGAAGAACCTTTAACATCCATGGAAACTTTCCATTGCACAAAATGGTCTTTATAGTGGAAAAATAAAAAAATGGAACTGTTCACTTAATGGTTCTTTGAGGAGCCTAAAATGGTTCTTCTGCAGCATAGCTGCAAAAACTCTCTTTATGAAGCTTAATTTTTAAGAGCGTATAATAAGCCCACTCATTTCACCATTTGCGTTTCCCTTGGATCTCAAATATAAGTGCATTATATATGTTTAGAGTGTACTGAAATGAATGCAGATAAGGGTCTCCAACCGAAGTGTTGACTCTGTGTTCTCTGTGGGGAAGTATACATGAGTGCTATCTTAGGGATTTGTGTTGTCAGAGTGAAGATTCAATTAAGCTGATGGATGTGCACTGGGATTGGGCAACACTGTTGTGAAATACCAGCACCGTCTGTTGCCTGTTTGAAAAAACAAAGAGATGTGAATGAAAGGCAAAAGGGGATTTTTTTATTTTGTTAGTAAAAACTTGATGCTTCCTCTAATATGACATTTGAACATTTAACTCATGTATTTACATATACACACTAGTCTTAAACAATTGTAATGTTTTTGAAAAAATATCTTCTGCTCACAAAGGCTGCATTTATTTGTTAAAAAAAATACAGCAGAAAACTGTAAAATTGTTAAATATTATTACAGTTTAAAATAACTGTTTTCTATTTGAATATATTTTAAAATGTAATTTATTTCTGTGATGCAGAGCTGAATTTTCAGCATCATTACCATAGACTGTATAAAAACAGATCATTACTCCAGTCTTCAGTGTCACATGATCCTTCAGAAATCTTTCTAATATGCTGATTTGCTGCTTAAGAAACATTTCTGATTACTATCAATGTTGAAAACAGTTTTGCTGTTTTATACTAAACCGTGATTTATTTTTTTCAGGATTCTTTGATGAATGAAGTTTAACAGAACATCATTTATTTGAAATAGAAATCGTTTGTCACATTATAAATGTCTTATTTATGTATCACTTTTAATCAATTTAATGCACACTTATTAAATAAAAGTGTTCATTTCGTTAAAATATATATATCTCTTTGACTCCAAACTTTTAATCTGCAGTGTAGCCTAGCATATACATATAGTTCTGTCAGGACCACTATCGTCAAAGATGATTGACAATTAGTATTGATTTATCTGCCTGTTGTGAAGTTAGCTAAATTGCTTGCTCTCGATTTAGGTTTTCTCAAAGTATGAAAGTCATTTCAAGATTTCAAAGTCATTCTGGTGGTACACTGATTTCTAATAAGGCGCATGACTGTTGTTTCTTATGGAAGCCCGTTTCCACCACTGAATAAAAAATTTAAAAAAGGTAATTGCGACTTTTTATCAGAATTGTTTGTTATACAACTTTTTTTCTCGCAATTGCGAGTTTATATCTCGCAATTCTGACTTTTTATCTCACAATTCTGACTTTTTTTCACAGAATTGTGAGATATAAACTCGCAATTGCAAGTTATACAGTCACAGTTGCGAGTTATAAAGTCAGAATTGCGAGATATAAAGTCACAATTGCGAGATAAAAACTCGCAATTCTAACTTCTTTTCTCGCAATTGCGAGTTTATATCTCGCAATTCTGACTTTTTTTCTCAGAATTGTGAGATATAAACTCGCAATTGCGAGTTATAAAGTCAGAATTGCGTGATATAAACTCGCAATTGCGAGTTAAAGTCCGATTTTGGGGGGGGTAAGACTGATATGTTCTCAGAATTGCGAGTTTATATCTCACAATTCTGAGAAAAAAAGTCAGAATTGCGAGATATAAACTCGCAATTGCGAGAAAAAAAAGTTAGAATTGCGAGTTTTTATCTCGCAATTGCGAGTTTATATCACGCAATTCTGAGAAAAAAAAGTCAGAATTGTGAGATAAAAAGTCGCAATTACCTCTTTTATTTTTTATTCAGTGGCGGAAACGGGCTTCCATAGTTTCTTTCCCTTGCTTCCCTTGTTCCAGAAGTATGTAAGTTTGGCGAACGGGTACGAAATTCCGCGAAAAGGACGGATTGCTTTACCGCAGCAACAAATGCACGTGAACAGCGATCCACTGGAATTAAGATTCCACTCAACTTAACTGTAGGGGGCTCCAAAGTCGCAAAAATATACATACAGTTGCTTTAAAGCCACTATTAAACCAAAACTGACTAATTTATTTATACTTGCACTTTTTTTTAATTCATGTGCCCTTGTAATCTTTAATCAAAATAACCTCCCCTCCCTCTTGCAAAGACATGATGTCCTGTTCACCGTCATGAGGGCCTACATTTTTTCTTCTTCAATAAGCCGTTTCACTGGGATAGCCTATATCACAATAGCGAAGAAAAGAATCTCAACTTCCGTTTCACGCTGACTTTAACATAACCACCAACACCTCCTGGAACCAATTACTCAGGATATGTCTCCATTTGGCTTAGGTTCAGTCCCAATGAAGAGTCACAGACAGTGATGATGATGATGATGATGATGGTCTTTTGAAGAAGGTTCAGTCCAGTAGCCGCCTGAGCCGTCACCCTTTCTTTACCTCTTCACCCGTGGACATCTGGAGTGCTGGTCTGAAAATGTAAATAACGGTTTTGACGTCTGCTTGCTGAGAACTGGAGGTGTATGAGTGAGACAGAGTCCAGCAGAGCCGATTCCTCAATCCATGCATCATCTGCTTTATAACAGCCAAATATATTGGGGGAATTCCTTCATGGAGACATGAAGACCAGAAACCAGATTTCACTTTGCATTTGTATACAAATCATTCAGCAACAACCTTATCAAAGTTATACTGTGATGGACTGGCCACACATCCAGGGTGTTTATGAATTGAACTGAAGCTGAAATGATTTTTTTTTCATAACTGATGAATTTGCAACATTGAGTCACTGAACTGTACTAAATTAAACTAAATTGAGCTGATTAATGATACTATTTCCTTAGAGCTGCTTTGTAGCTAAATTGAATTTGAATTGAGTTTAATAATTGATGAACTTTGAAACAATGACAGTCAATGAACTAAACTGAATCAAAGTGAAGTCATTTCATAATCTTTGAACTTAGCAACCCTGTTATTATCTCGTTTATTACTGTGAAGCTGCTTTGAAACAATCTGAATTGTATAAAGAGCTATATAAATAAATGTGACTTAATTTAATCACAAAGCACCTAGAGGCTTATGACTAACTTTAGATTGTCAGGGAATAAATATGGCACTTATAAATCCGCTTAATAATATAACATTATTAATACAATTAGTAGTTTTTTTTTTGTTTTATAATAGCAATCAAAGATGTGCTATAATGTGAAAAACGTGCCAGCAGAAGTGAAACTGTGACAATATTTACCATATAATACGTCCTCCCTTATCTTATTGCTTCATTACACTTGGTGGAGCTCTTGGGAATAATAGTGATGTAATAGTTGACAGCAGAGGCCAGTGAAAGGTAAAAGGTCTCAAAGAGGTCAATTGAATGAATAACAATATCACAACTCCCTGTTCACTTACAGTAAAGTAGAATAGATTACATTCACTTCATTCAAGACGTTCAGGAAAATGACCATTTCTATTCGCTTAACGCTCCGTAAGATGAATTCCTTGTTGTATTCCTCATTTGTAAGTTGCTTTGGAAAAAAGTGTCTGCTAAATCAATAAATGTATACGTTCTAAGTGTTAATCAAGTGGCAAAAGCCAAAATATTTGAAAAGAAAGAACTGACACTGTTATTAAACTGAAATTAATCAACACTGAACTGACTTGAGCCGAATAATGACTCTATTGCCTTCTGTAGAGCTGCTTAGTTGAATTGAACCAGTTTCAAAACTGATGAACTTTGCAACATTGACACTGTTTATTGAACTAAATTGAAACAACACTTAACTAATTGAGCAAAATGTATATAGAGGGCTGCTTTACAGCAGAAATTGAATTTGTTTTAAAATCTATTAATTTTACAATGTTAACACTGTTATTTTCCTGTTTATTAATGTGAAGCTGCTTTGAAACAATCTGTATTAAGCTCAATTGAAATAAATGTGGCTAGACTTTAATAAAATGTGACACTTTCACATCTAAAGGAAATTCACAGAGAGTGAGAGATCAAAAAAATGATAAAAACCGTAAACATGTGACAAAGAAATTCAGTTTCACACAAACCCTTGGACATATGTCTGTGCATGAAAAATGAGTGAAGATTAGAAAAATTAAACAGAAACATTAAAGGAGACATAACTCAAGCCCTCCCTCCACTTCTGCACTCATGTGTGAAACCTTCTAACACAATGTTTCCCATTCCTTCACAACGCACTGAGAAACACTGCCAGGACTCTGGACGTGTGTGATGAGACTTGTTTTGCTTGTCTGTCACGTCACTAATCGGTTTTCTTCTGTAGCGTTCATGGGCACAAATATTACAACATCTCTAAAATCAAGATCACATGACACACTTACCGATATAAGCTCTGCAATGTCCTGTAACAGAGAAATTACCCTTTTCAAAAATGCTGCAAAGAAGAAGGGAAAATTAAGGAAGTGCCTGGGCTCCATAGAATAGGCTAGGATTTCGTAATCCAGTCACTATACACGTCAAAAGGTCCACAAAGGTCAATGTGACA